AAATTTTTGTCTTTGTTTCTAAGGTGTGTCTCTTGTAGACAGCATATTGATGGATCCTATTTTTTTGTCCGTTCTGTCACTCTGTCTCTTTATGGGTGCATTTAGGCCATTTACATTCAGTGTAATTATTGATAGGTGTGAGTTTATTGCTGTCATTTTGTAGTGGTTTTTTTTGGGGGGTGCTTACTTTTTCTTTGTTCCTCTTACTCTTCTGTGGTGAATTCCTTTTGTTTGTTGATTTTTTTTCATTTCGTTTGTCTTTGTAGGTTTTGTTTTTACTGAGAGTTTATGTTTTTCCTCTTTATTTTGATGAGTAGGTTTGTTAACTTTCTTTGTGGTTACTGGGAAATTTACCCTTATCTCTCTAAGTTTGCAGCAGTCTATTATTACTTGGTATCACCTTGCCTTCCTCTTCATTAGAAGGTTCTATACCTACCCCGTTTATACCATCTTTTGGTGTTTTGATGTTGTTGTTGTTTACAGAATCATTACTCTGATTCCCTGTTGTATTTCTTTTCGTTTGGAAAGTCCTGGAGAGTTCATTTCCTAGATTAGTATCTGGCTGGTTCAATCCTGCTTCCTAGATTCAGCCTGCGAGCTGATGTTGTTTGTTCTCAGCTCGAAGGACTCCCTTTAATAATTCTTGTAAGTTTCGTTTGGTTTTTACATAGTCCCTTAATTTTTGTTTATGTGGGAATGACCTAATTTCACCATCATATTTGAAAGAGAGTTTTGCAGGATATATTATTCTTGGCTTGCAGTTTTTTTCTTTTGATGTTTTATATATGTCATCCCATTGCCTTCTTGCCTGCATGGTTTCTGCCCAATAATCTGAGCTTCATCTTATTGTTTCTCCTCTGTATTTGACTTTCTGTTTTCTCGAGGTGACCTCAGGATTCTTTTGTTTGTCTTTTGTTTTGGTGAATGTGATTATGATATTCCTTGGTGATTTTCTTTTGGGGTCTATTCTATATGGGGTTCGTTGAGTTTCTTGTATGTCTCGGTTTTCATCTTTCATGATATTGGGGAAGTTTTCTGTCAGCAGTTCTTCAGTGATCCTCTATGTGTTTTCTGTTTTCTCCCCCTGTTCTTGAACTCCGTTCACTGGCGGATTTTTGGTTTTGATTGTATCCCGCATAATTCTCAGGGTCTCTTCATTTTTTGTTCATTTTTCTGATTTTTCCTCAAACAGAGTTGTATCTAAGTTTTTGTTTTCAAGTTTGCTGATCTTGTCTTCTACCATTTCAAACCTGCTCCTCATCCCTTCTTTGACACTATTTCTGAAATCTTGTTTATCTTTTGGATTTCTAATTGTTGTTTTTGTATTCGTGAGTTTATTTTGGCATTTTGTTCCTGCATTATTTTCCTGAATTCTTCCATTTTTTTTGTTCGTATTTTCCATGAATTTGTCTATTTTTTCCTCATTTTTGTCTACTTTTTGCTTCAGCTCTTGCATATCTCTGAATATTGGAGATTTGAATTCCCTATCATGTAGTTCTAGTGCCTTTTTTCCTGGAAAAGTTATCTCGTGTTTTATTTTGGGCACCTATTGGAACCATCCTATCCTATTTTTGTAAATGTTTTGATATTCTCTGTTGTCTTTAGGGCATTTGGTAGTTATTTTCCTTGTTTACTGATTGTAAATCTGTTTGGTTCATCCTCCTTTTTTATTTTATTTAACTATGTCTGAGCAGCGGGCTGTGTATTCTTTGTTGTTTTCTCATCTTTGAGCACGATAGTTTTGCCGCCTTCTCCAATTGGCAGGGTCAGTTGCTCAGATATGGTACAGCAGGGCAGGTGTAGCTGAATGGGAGTTGCTGGAATGGGTTGTTTGTGGCACTTACTATGGCTACCAGGGCAGGCCGGTAATCAATGTAGGGTAAGTTCCGGTAGGCCGTGCCTGGGCTGCTTGGTGATGTGATGTTCAGCGCATGGTGCTGGTAGGCAGGATGGATGTCGGAGACTGTCATGTGTGGAGCTAAGATGGGTATGGAAGAGAGGAGAGAGGAACGGGAGCCAAAAACATACAAACAAATAAAACAGAGTGCTACAGGAGCTTGCCGTTGGAGTAGGGAGATGAGAGACTATGAAATGGAGGAAAACAAAAAGGAGAAGAAAAAAAAAAGGAAAGAAAAGAAAAGAAAAAAAAAAAGATTAAATAAACATTACAAAGAAGAAAAGCAAAGCTCTCAGGGATCCCTCTGGTGCAGCTGCGAGGTCTGGGGAAGTTGCTTTCTGGCCGTGAAGTACAGACTGTCTAGAAGAGGTAGAGGTGTCACTCAGTGCCAGGTATTCAGGGTACAGGAAGAGAAACAAAGTATAGAGAGACGAGAAACTGAGTAATGAAGGAAGACAAAAAGGGAAAAAGAGGGAAAAGAAACACCCCGCCCCCTCCCGCAAAGAAAAACAGGAAAAAAAAAAAGCCTCAAAAAAAAAGCCAGAAAAAAGAAATGTCCTTGGGGATCCCTCTGCGCTTCTGTGCAAACTGATGGGGTAGGTCCCAAGCCTCACAGTGCTGCGTGGCTAGAACGGACTCCCAATTCGAGTAAAGAACAAGAAAACAAACAAACAATTCAAAACAAACAAATAGACAGCCTCGGGATCCCACTAGTGTTCCAGCACGGGCCGGGAAGCAGTTCCACATTCGAGCGGCATTTCACAGCTCTCAGGAAGAAGCAAAGATGGCACACGGAGTCAGGTATTTGAGAGAAAGGAGGGGGAGGTGGTGACAGGTAAGGAATAAATCTAAAGAAGCGGAGAAAAGCAACACCAGCAGCCAACAAATGGCATTTAGGGTGCCGGCCAGTGCGGGCATATGGAACCCAAGCGACACCAGAATGAAGGTGGTGCTTCTCGGCCAAGAGTCTGGCCACAGGAAGCAGAGGAGGCCGATTGGGGTGAAGAGGGGTGGGGGTGGGAAAGTGTATATCTCTGGTTACCAGTTGTTCTGTCTTCTGCTGGAAGCTCTGTGAAGCTAGTTTCTCATACCCCTTGTTTGCTGATCTCTCATAAGAGTCCAAGGTAGCGGATCCGTGCTGCATTAGCTGATAGGGGACGTCTGCATGTATCTCTTCTCGCTCACTGTTCTCTATCAGTTTCTTACTCCGTTCAGTGGTTGGCTGAGTTCTTTGTCTCCTCATTTGATGCTTATGGTTTCAGGATTGCTGTTTTCTCTGTTTGGCTTAGTTTTTCGGATCTTTGCTGTGGAGGGATGGTGTGGTACTTCTGCCTATAGCACCATGTTGCCTGGAAGTCAACAGATAAATAATTTTCATGTACAGGTTATAGATTAATGGCAGGGAGCCACAGAAGCGTTTAACAGGTTGGCTTACCTGAGAAATGCTAAAAGAATGAAAATAGATGCATATATGTCACAAAGAGTTGTCCATATCAATTTCTGCTGTTCTTTCCCATAACTCCAGGTCTTATGAATCTGACAACTATGACAGAGATATTCTCTTTGACTGTGGGACTGAGACTTCGTGGGTTTGTGTGTGTGTGTGTGAGTGTGTCGTAGTTTAGTTGAAATTTTAGGTAGCATAGCAATCCTTTTATTCTGTTGCTTTAATTTCACTCTGTCATTAAAAGTTTTTCATAATGTGTGTGAATTGCTTGTTTTACTTGAATACTTCACAAGAAAACTTGTTTCTTGATAACATTCATATTTGAAAATTACCTTATTACCATTTATTTGTTTAGTTTTATGCAGTAATTAGTTTTCTTTCCGATGAGTAAGATTAATTGGTGAGGATAGCATAGGAAAAGCCATTGCCATTTATAGAGTTTTGGTTGTTTCGTTGGTTTGGTCTCGTCAGCAGGAAAGACTAATAGCTAGAAAAGGACATCGTTTTTAATAAAGTAGAGAGAGGGTCAGCAAAAACAAGGGAAACCATCAGTGAGATGGGTTGACACAATAGCCACAACAGGGTACTCAAATGTACCGGTGATCATGAAGATGGCACAGGACTGGGCAGCTTTTCATTCTCTTATACATAAGGTCACCATTAGTCAAAGTCACCTCAATGGCAACTAATAACAACAATAACAACTTTGGTAGCACAGCACCCATGTGAGGTAGCAGGGCATCCAAGGTTATGTTGGAGGGAGTTGAAGAGTGAACCTTCAGAAAATTACTTTTATGTAGTTGTACCGGTTAGTATAGGTTAGCTATTATAACAGACTCCAAAAGATACAGTGGCTCAAACACAATAGAAATGTATGTTTTCCATATATAACAGTGCTTAGTAGGTAAACAGATCAGATCACACGGTTATTCAAGTACTCAGGCTGATGGAGGATCTGCCATTTTCACCTTGAGGCTTCAGATACTGCCTTGGGGTTGACTCCATTGCAGTAGAAGAGGAAAAAAGCTTGGAGGAGCATGTGTGGGTGGTTTTCATGCATTGGGCCTGGAGGTGATAACATTCTCATTCATAGTCACGCTGTCATAGGGCCACACTTAACTTCAAGGGAGGTAAGAGTAGTCTAGCTGTGGGTCTGGGAGACAGAGGAGAACAAAGATTTTGGTGAGTAGCTTCCTGTCTCTGCCATACAGTAATTGTTAGGCTGTGTGTACTGTAGACAGATGCTAACTAAATATCTCTTTGGTTCTAACATTTGGCTAACCTTGGGTTGATTCTTTAAGACTTGGCATACTTTGGATATGCCAAAGGTCTTTGTCCTGCTAAAGGTGTGATAATCTGTGTCATCACAGAAGGAGAGGAAAGGAAACTCTACTACAGTATCTGTATGCCCAGGTATGCCCTTGGTATATATTATTTCATTTAGTCTTTGTATATATATTTGTATAATTTCATTTAATCCATACGGCAATCCTGTAAGAAATGTATTTGCGCCATCATTTTCCAAATGGAAAAGAGTTTTGATGGCCTTCCTTAGTTTCCATACTTGGTGAGAGTGATTTCTGAGCCCTTTAAGTTGATTAATTGACAGCGATAAATTTATATCGTTTTGTCTTCTCTTTTGGGATTATTTTCCAGTTTGACTTTGAAGGATCACTTTCCCCAGTCATTGCACCCAAAAAAGCAAGGCCTTCTGAGACCGGATCTGATGATGTAAGCATTATGATTTCTTGCTACTGTAAATTAGTTTGTGAATACTTGTATTAGTCTTCCACTTTTGTGGTATTTGTGTTGATTTGTCTTTATATTTCCAACACTTCTTACTTTATTTATTTTAATATTGAATAACAGTTATTTTGAAGGGCGGAATCTTGTTTTCTGTAGTCATTTGTTCACTTTTATTTTGAGTGATCATCTAAAAATTACTATAAACATGTTTCTGGATCATTGGAAAGACCAAGTTACAAATAAATATTGCTGCATGATTTCAGTTTGGGCTTATAGATGTTTTATTGCCAATTGATTATCTAAAGTGACAGCATTTACCTTTTTATGCAGTGTTTCTTTAATTTAGGTTCTCAAGTGTATCACATTCCATGGGTGTATTCTTTTTTATTTTTATTTTTTTTTAATATTTTATTGTACTTCAGGTGAAGGCTTACAGAACAAATAGTTTCTCATGAAACAGTACTACACATGTTGTTTTATGACATTGGTTAACAACCCCACAACATATTAACCCTCTAACTTCTCAACCTTTTTTTTTTTTGGTGAAAATACACATAGCCAAAGATACACCGTTTCAAAAATTTCTACATACACAGTTCAGTGACATTGACTACGCTCTTCCAATTGTGCTGTTATTCTCACTTAAGATGAAGGCTTACAGAACAAAATAGTTTCTCATTTAACAGTTACTACAAATGTTGCCCTATGACAATGGTTAACAATCTCACAACACATCAACAATATCTTTACTCAACCTTGGGTTCCCTATCACCAGCTTCTTTGTCCCCTTCTGCCTTCTGGCCCTTGTCACTGGACTCCTGTACCTCGTTAGTCTCATTAGGTTTAACGGCTGTCCACTCCCAGGCTGAACAGTGAACCTCGGAGGTAACTTCACCACTGAGCTAAAAGGGTGTCTGGGGGCCATACTCTCGAGGTTTCTCCAGTCTCCTTTAGGCCAGTAAATTCCATGGGTGTATTCTTAAGGAGCCCCCGCCTCAATTTTTTTTCTTTAATTAAGATATAATTTGCTTAAAATGAAATGCTCTGATCTTAAGTTTACAGTTTAATCAATTTTGACAAATGCATACTCATGGAACCCACACCCCTATCAAGACATAGAACATTTCTGTCTCTCCACAAAGTTTATCTTTGTTCCCATTTTTAATCAGTCTTTTCCCACTTTCCCTGAGGCAACCAGATTTCTATCACCATTTGTTAGTTTTGCCTGTTCTGGAACTTGATATAAAGGAAATGATACAGTATATAATCTTTGGTGTAGGGTTTCCTTTATTCAGCATAGTGTTTCTGAGATGTATCTATATTGCTGCAGATATCAGTTGCTTGTTCTTTTTTATTGCTAAGTAGTATGACTGTACTACTTGTTTGTCCATTCTTCTGCTGATGGATACCTAGTCTGTTTCCGTTTTTTGACTATTATGAATAAAGCTACTACCAACATTCTTTTACAAGTCTTTGGGGACATGTATTTTCAGTTTTTTAGATAAATACCTAGCAGTGCAATTGCTGGGTCATTCATTGCTGGAAGTGCCAGACGTGTCCCCAAACTGGTTGTACCATTTTTTTTGCACTCTGACCAGTGAAGATTTACAGCCTTGGAAATCCTGTGGGGCAGTTCTACCCTGTCCTGTAGGGTCACTGTGAATCAGAATCAACTCGATGGCAGTGGGCTTTTTTTTTTTTTTTTTAAATCTTTACGGGAGTAGAGTCCCACATCTTTCTCCTGCAGAGCAGCTGGTGGGTTTGACCTGCCGACTTTCAGTTAGCAGCTGAGTTCTTTAACCACTGTGCCACCAAGGCTCCTTAGTTTTCTTAATTTGCCTTTCCCTGATAACTAATGATATTAGGTACTTTTTCATGTGCTTGTCTTATGTATATTTTTTGAAGTTCAAATCTTTAGCCTATTTTTAAATTGCATTTAAAATATCGTTATTCAGCAATAGAAGTTGTTTACATATTCTGGATATGAGTTCTTTTTACATGTGTTGTGAATATTTTCTTTCAGTATGTGGCTTAACAGTCTCTTTTGATGAACATAAATTTTTTTGATTGTCCAGTTTTTTCTTTTATGTCTAGTTTTTTTTTTTTCTGTATTCAGTCCAAAGTTTTTAAGTTACAATAACACACTGTATTAAACTCCACAAAAACACCAGTAAATTCCAAAATCTGGAAATGGCCTAGACAACATTCTTTGAGCACAGTGAAATAAACCAGAATAACCAAAGCACACTCAATACTCAAGAAAAAACCAAAACCAAACCCATCGCCGTCAAGTTGATTCCGACTCAGAGAGACCATATAGGTCAGAGTAGAACTGCCCCTTAGGGTTTCTAAGGAGCAGCTGGTGGATTTGAACTGCTGACCTTTTGGTTAGCAGCCATAACTCTTAACCACTTTGCCACCAGGGCTCCCAGTACTTGGAAAGTACAATCAGTCTCATTTATTAGACTATATTACTAGTTCAACATTTTATAAATATAGAAAGACAAATATACCATCTGAATATAGGCAGACCTATAGACCTACTCCTTTACCAATACACAAATCAGTGTGGTGGTCACTAAACCTGCCTATTTGCACTTTCCACATTTCATTCATTAATTTTGACTTCATAAAACATAGCCTTGGATAATCTTAAAATTTCTTTCTCAGTTCCTGTCTAAGGGGCAGGCTTTCTTCCTGAAAGTCTCTTCCCTAAGAGAATGTGACTGGATTTTTTTCAACTCTTTTTGAAGATGGCTTGTCTTAATGTTTATCACTGACATCTGGAAATCGCTTGGCTGTTTTGTACAGTAAAACCTGTGAAAGCCAGAACCTGTGTAAGGTGGAAACCTGGGAGAAGGAAAACTCAAATTTATTTTCCACCAGCACACGGCAATAGAAAAGTGGTAAGACTGCACCTTTTCGAAGGCAGAAGACTTGCAAGGCCGCGAGAGAACAAGGCAATCTCATCAGGTTCTGGCTCTCACAGCTTTCACTGTAGTTGGTCTTTTTCAGCATGGTGACTTTTTTCATATTCTGAGATAAACAACGTAAAACTGGAGTTTGAATTTGTTTTAAGTAATTCGGTTTTCTTTTTTAATGATGACATTGCAAGGAGGCATTGTTGAAAAAAACTTCTATCTTTTTTATTCTTCTCAGGACTGGGAATATTTACTAAATTCAGACTACCACCAGAATGTTGAGTCTCATCTTTTGACTAGATCTTTATGTTTGAGTCCTTTGGAAGTTTCACAGATGAAGGATGAGGAATTTTCACAGAACTTAAGTCTGGATTCTTCTACACTTCTCTTCACTCACATACCTGCAATTTTTTTTGTTCTTCATCTTGTCTATGAGGAGCTTAAGTTGAATACTCTAATGGGAGAAGGAATTCGTTCACTTGTTGACCTTCTTGTTCAGTTGGCAAGGTAAATATTATTTGTAGATTAGAAACCTCCAAGAAATCTTTAAATGAACTGATCTTATCCATTAATATTGTAAATAAATTTCTGAAATCTACTTTCTCAGAAAAACAGCATTTTCTATAAACTACAGAATTTTTTTTGGTTTAAAGATACCAGCTAAGTCAGGGTCTTGTGGGCCATGCTCGGGTTTTGGTCTTAGTCCTAAGATTAGTGGGAAGTCACAAAAGTGTGTTAAGCAAGGGGATGACCTGCTCAAATTTTTATTTTGACAAGATGACTGGCTACACTGTGGTAGAAATCCTAAAATAATACCTACGGTTTTGTAATAATAGCTACATTCACATAGTGCTTTGCAGTTAAGAAATCATAGTTTACATATAAATTGGCAAAGTAAGTATTATGATCTTTATCATAGCAGTGAGGAAGCTTGCCCAAGTTTGTTTCCTAGGCAAGTCAGTGAAAGAGCAGTGGGAGCGGGAACACCGTGTTGATCGCTGTATTGTGGGCTCTTCTGTCTTTGCCTCTAGTGTCACCATATGCGGTGGTTCCTATCTTTCAAGCACCCAGAGTGGATCCACAATAAGATTGTTCTAATGATATGTTTTATCAGCCTTTTTTAGCACCTTTTTGGTGTTGAATTCTTCATGGCACTGAATCCTAAGGGTCCTGCTTAGATGTTTGAAATTTTGTGACTCTTGGTGATAGAGAAAGTTGAATTTGAATTGAAATGTCAACCTCTGAGTCAAGATTATGGCACATTTTCTAACTTCTGTGATCTTCCCTGAGAAACTGAAATTTTTTCTGAGACATGGTAGTTTTAGTTATGGTCGATTTCTCTTACGACAGATTATCACTATCATGAAAATCCTTTTGTAACTAAATAATTCTAAACCCTAATTATGGCTCTCTGAAATAAGTAACATTTGTATTATGTTTTAGATTTTATGAGGTATTTTTCACATATATTATTTAATCTTCAAAGCTTCAGAGTGAGTTAACTGATGTTTCTGTGTTTTCTAGAAGAAAATACTGAGGTTTATAGAGATGACTTGCTGAAAATCATACAGCTGATAAATGACAGGGGAGAAACTAGACCCAGTGTTTTTCCTCTAGTTTTACTACCATGAAATTCATCCAGCAGAAAGAGTTTAGGTTGCATTTGTCGTATTGGGCACTTTAAAATCCAGAAATAGAACAAAGAAGCTCTAAATTTGATTGCCTTCTTTCTCATGAGTAAGTTTTCTAAATTAAAAAGTTTAACTGATGACTTCTAACCGTGGGGGACAGGAAGATAATGCTGAAATATCTTCCTTGTTATTTCTTTTTTTATATGCTTTTCCCGTTTTAGGGACTTAAAATTGGGGCCTTATGTCGATCATTACTATAGAGACTACCCAGCGCTTGTCAGAACTACTGGGCAAGTGTGTACAATCGATCAAGGTGAGCATCTGTGTGCCGTTAAAGATTTTCTGAACAATGCAGTGATGTTTGCTAGTATCTTTCTCAGTGACTGTTTCTTACCATTTGCCTCTAAGTCAGGAAAAATATTTTTCCACCAGGCAGATTTTTGTTGTAGTGCTTAATCTCTGGCTTACATTACTGTAAGCCACAACCTCTTCAGTGTATGGGGAGAGTTTTACCCATCTCTAAGATTCTGACTTGCAAAAGCTCAGAGACAGCTTCCAGTGACAAGGATGCTTTTCCCTAGACCTTTGCTATCCAATTAGTAGCCACTAGACATATGTGACTGTTTAAATTTAAGTAATTAAAATGAAAAATTCAGTTCCTCAACTGCACTAGCCACTTTTAAGTGCTCAGTGGCCACATGAGACTACTGGTTGCCATATTGGACAGTACAAATATAGAATATTTCTGTCACCACAGTATTGTCGTAGACCCTGAGCTAAAGGGACTCAAGGGTAGGACCCAGTTGTTAGAACAGGGCCGAATCCTCAGTGTCTCTTGTTTTATCTTTAGGGCTAGGCCAGAAAAAATTGGTTAGATTCTTTATATGCCTTGGTCACAGAATTTGCTTAATTTCCATCAGGCTTGGAATAAAACAGTAGTTATTTAAATTCTATGCATAATAACATGGTCAGCTATTTACTGGGGCAGAAAACCAGAAGCATTTTGGAGAAAATAGAAAAAAATATTATTCTGATTGTTTTGAGATGACCGTTGAGTACTGTTGATTATTTTTCCTTTAGCATAAAATAGTATTGTCTTAATATATTCTTGTATCTTTATAAGCATATGTCTTATTTTAAAGGTCAAACAGGATTTATGCATCATCCATCATTTTTTACTTCTGAGCCACCAAGTATTTATCAGTGGGTGAGTTCTTGTCTGAAGGGCGAAGGAATACCACCCTATCCTTACCTCCCTGGAATCTGTGAAAGAAGCAAACTTATAGTCTTGGTATGTATTAAAATGTTGCCTATCTTGTGTATTTTTTCAATTTTATTTCTTTTAAATTAAATTTTTTGAAAAGTAATTTTTCAAAAAAGTAAAATTGACTTTTTTAAATGTAAACTTCTATGAATTTCAACATACATATAGATTCATGCCATCACCCCCATAATTAGAATATTAACAGTTCTGTTACCACCCTTCTCCACAAAAAAATCCCCTCCTGCTTTTGCGATTCCTTCCTGTTGCATGTATCAGTAGTTTGTTGTGTTTTATTGCTGAGTAATAGTCCATTGTATGGATATACCACACTTGGTTTATCCACTCAGCCGTTGAAGAACATTTGGGTTATTTCCAGCTTTTAGCAGTTATGAGTAAAGCTGCTGTAAACATTCAGGTTTAGGTTTTTGTGTGAACATAAGTTTTTATTTCTCTAGAGTAGATATCTAGGAGTGAAGATTTATGGGTCATATAGTAAGTGTATGTTTAGTTTTTAAAGAAACTGTCAACTGTTTCCCAGGGTGGCCATACCATTTTACATTCCCACCAGCAGTATGAGAGACCCAGTTTCTCTGCATCATTGTCAGTATTTGAAATTGTCACTATTTTTTATTTTAGCCATTTCTGATAGGCTTATAGTGATACCTCATCATGGTCTTAATTTGCATTTCCGTAATGGCTAGTGATGTTGAACATCTTCTTTTCATATGCTTATTTGCCATCAATATATATCTTCTTCAGTGAAATGTGTCTTCATGTTCTTTGCCCTTTTGCTAATTGCCTTGTTTTATTACTGTTGGGTTTTCAGAGTTCTAGATATGAACTTTTGTTCTTTGTCAGCTAGGTGGTTTGCAAATATTTTCTCCCAGTTTGTAGCTTGTGTTGTCTCACCATTCTCTAGATGTTTCTTTAGCAGAGTAAAAGTGTTTAACTTGGATGAAGTCCAGTTTATCAAGTTTTTGATTTTATGGTAGTGCTTTTGGTATCATGTTTAAGAACTCTTTATTTAACTCTAGGCACAAAGATTTTGTCTTATGTTTTCTTCTAGAAGTTTCATAGCTTTATGTTTTACATTTAGAGCTATCATCCATTTTGTTAATTTGTAAGGTGTGAGGGTTAGGGCAAGGTTCTTATATTTCCATTTTGCTGTCCAATTCTTTCAACACCATTGTTGAAAAGACTGTCATTTCTCTGTTGAATTGCTGTTGCACTTTTGTCAAAAATCAATTGGCCGCATTCTTATGGGTCTACTTCTAGACTTTCTATTCTAGTCCATTTATGCATATGGCTCCCCGCACTGTCTGGACTACTGGAGCTTTATAGTTAGTCATCAAATTGGATAGTGTGATTCTTCCCTCTTTTATTCTTCTTTGTCAAAATCGTTTTAGCTATTTTAGTTTCTTTGCTTTTTCATATAAATTTTATTTAATCAGCTTTTCTGTAACTGCAAAAAAGTCCTGCTGGAATTTTGAAAGGAATTATGTTAAACTTGTAGATTAATTTGGGGAGAATTGGGGAGAATTGACATTTCTTCCTCTCTCTCTGTGATCTCCCCTCTGCCTGGTGGGTCTTGGAGGTTCAACAAAAAGCTTGGGGCTGCAGTCACCCCCTTCTTTGACGTACTTCTGTGCTTGGGTTAATAGCTCCATTAAATGGAAAGTTTTCCTTTCTTAAAGTTTTCTTTCTTCTGTCCCTTGTTACAACCTGTTGTTACCTATGTTGGATTGCCTGGGGACTGAGGTGTGAGAAAAATGGAGACACGAGAAGAAAGAAAAAAAGAGGAAGGATTTCTGCACTGTCTCTGAGCATTAGGAGTTCCCTTTGTGGCTCTTTGAGCCAAAATTGACGTAGTGCTCATTAAATGAGTTTCTGACTAAGTTCAAACTGAGGATGTAGGAAGTTACAAAAAAGGGTAAACTCCCCGTTATTTTGGTGATACTTCGAATTCAGAATCTGCCTGCTGCTGTTCCCTTTTCTTTTTTTTAAATTGAAGTGAAATTCACCTAACATAGAATTAACTACTTTATTAACCATAGTGAACAATTCAGTGACAATTAGAACATTCAGAATATTGTACAATTACTACATCTGTCTAGTTAAATTTTTATCATCTCAAAGTAAAACCCAATATCCATTAAGCAGTCGCTACCCATTCCCACCACCTTCAGTAGCTGGCAATGATCTCTTGAGGATTTACCTATTCTAGATGTTCACAGTTCTACTTTGACACACATGTGATTGCCATGAGTTGGAATTACTTGAGGACAACTGACTAAATGGAATTATAAAATATGTAACCTTTTGTGCCTGGCTTCATTCACTTAGCACAGTGTTTTAATGTTCATTCATGTAGCATGTATCAGTATCTCGTTCCTTTTTATGGATGAATAAGATTCCGTTTTATGTATATCCCACAATTTGTTGAGCTAGTCATCTGTTGATGGACATATGGACTATCACCACCTTTTGGCTATTGTGAATAGTACTACTGTGAACATGTGTGTACCTGTTTGGGTGGCTGTTTTCAATATTTTGTATATACTGAGAAGTGAAATTGCTAGGTCGTATGGTAACTGTATGTTTAACTTTTTGAGGAACCACCAAATGGTTTTCTAGAGTGACTGAACCATTTAACATTCTTACTAGCAATATGCAAGGGTTCCAATTTCTCCACATCCTGTCTGACACTTGTTATTTTTTATTTTTTGATCATAGCCATCCTGGTAGGTATGAAGTGGTACCTCATTGTGGTTTTGATTTGTATTTCCCTAGTGACTAATGATGTTGAGTATCTTTTTATGTGTTTATAGGCCATTTGTATGTCTTCTTTGGAGAAATGTCTGTGTAAGTTCTTTGCCCATTTCATAATTGGGTCCTGTGTCTTTTTGTTGTTGAGTTATAAGAGTTCTTTATATATTTTGCATACAAGTTCCTCATTAGATAGATGTTTTGGAAATATTTTCTATAATTCTAATGATTGTTTTTTCACTTTCTGGATAATTCCTTTGATGCACAAAACATTTTTAATTTCGATGAAGTCTAATTTATATATTTTTTTCTTTGGTTGCTTGTGCTTTTGGTGTCATATCTAAGAATCCATTGCCAAATCCAGTGTCATGAACATTTACCCTTATGTTTTCTTCTTCAAGTTTTAAGATTTTAGCTTTTAGATTTAGGTTGTTGATCCATTTGGGGTTAATTTTTATATATGGTATGTGATATGGGCCCAACTTTATTCTTTTGCATGTGGGTAATCCAGTTGTTCCAGTACCATTTGTTAAAGGGGGTGTTCTTTCTGCATTGAATGGTTTTGGAACTCTTGTTGAAAATCAATTAGCTTTAGGTACATAGGTTTATTTTTGGACTCTCAGTTGTACTAGTGTATATGTCTATCTGTATGCCATTACCACAGTGTTTTGATTACTGTACCATTCCATCATCTCTAACATCAACTACTCCCTCTCCCCTTGGTATTCTCCCTCCTGTCTTTGGGTTCCCTAATTTGCTGCAACTTCTCACAGAAGTCACCAACTGTATAAAGGAAATGGCTAACACTGTTGTGGAGGCTGGCAAGTCCCAAATTTGTGAGTCAGGCGTAGGCTTCTCCCTGGCCCTCAGTCTCTGCCCAAAGGCACTCAACTTTCTCACTCCGTGGGCCGGGAAGCCCAATGCGCCATCTCCTGTGAGTCTGTCCTGCCGGTGTCTCCTGCGGGTCTCTCCTTCGTTGGTGGTGGTGGGCTCTTTTCTTTCCCGCCTCTAGTGTGGCTCATTTCAAGCCTAGCAGGATGGCAAAACTGACCAATCCCCTTGGTGGGCCATAAGTACCTTATCACATAGTCCTGCCCGGTCAACTCCGTGGGAGTTACAAGACCATGGCTGGAAAGGCCATACAAAAACCAATCCATTACCCCGCAATTTACAAAAATATTTTTTAAAATATTTTATCCAGCTTGTTTAATTGTTTGCAGGAGGGTTGGTCAGTAATAGTTATTCTGAACAATTGCTGGAAACAGAGCCATTTTTCATAGATATTTGGCTTTTTATTGGATTTTAATTTTTTTGGAATGTGATGTTTAGCTAATAATACATTTGCAAAAACCTGTACCATACCCTTGTAGCTTATTGTGACTTTTTACCATTGAATTACTTGTATAAGTGGAGATGATATTGTCTGTTTACCATTTGTTGAAATGAGAGAAGGGAAAGTAAGGAAATGATCTAACATTTCTTGGTGTCTGTTGTCTTTAAAAGGAGCCCTGGTAGCATAGTGGTTAAGCAGTCGGCTGCTAACCAAAAGCTTGGCAGTTCAAACCACCAGCTCCTCTGTGGGAGAAAGATGTGGCAGCCTGCTTCCATAAATATTTACAGCCTTGGATTCCCTATGGGGAAGTTCTACTCTGTCCTTATACAGTTGCTGTGAGTTGGAGTTGACTCTATGGCAATGGGCTTTGGTTTGGTTTCCTTGTCTTCAAGCAACTTTATGTACATTTTCTCATTTGATAGAAAGATACCTAATTTGTCTCTAGTCATTACTATGGTATTTTTGAGTAATTTATAGCTAAAAAAAAAACTGAGATAAAAGACATACTTTTGTTATATGTACTAAATATTTTAAACTCTTCTTAGGTTTAATTTTTCTTTTCCCCCTTTGTCTTATCTACATTTTTATTTTCCTGCCTAAAGCAAATACCACTATGGTTCTTTGGGGTTTATGGTGAAAGCAGAGCGATTTAGTAAATAAGGATGTTTTAGCCTGGTAGTTAATCCCACCTACTTCCAAAATTGATTTGAGGCGATTAAAATTTTTGAAATAGGTGTTTGGTAATGTGAATGCCTTGACATTCCGGTGAAAACCTTTTATGTGAGTAGGAGTCTTCTTTTTTAAATAATTACCTTAATCTAAGGTATGACCTTGAGTCATGTATAATAGTTTGTAAATTTTTTTTTATTGGTTATAAATGAACATAATGTTTTAACAACTAATTAAACCCACATTGAGGTACTGTTAAACACCTCTTAACTCATTATCGTGGATTCGATTCCGACTCGTAGTGACCCTATAGGACAGAGTAGAACTGCCCCATAGAGTTTCCAAGGAGTGCCTGGTGAATTCAAACTGCTGACCTTTTGGTTAGTAGCCGAACTCTTAACCACTATGGCACCAGGGTTTCCAGACACCTATTAGAAAGGCTCAAAACAAAACACGTTTTGGTGAGAATGTGGAGCAACTACAACTCTCACACGTTGCTGGTGGGACTGCATATCAGTTTCTTACAAAGTTAAACGTATACTTACCATAAGATTGAGCAATCCCACTCCTAGGTATTTACGTAAGAGAAATGAAAACATATGTTCACACATAAGACTTTGCTCATACTTGCCACAAACTGCAAGCAACCCAAATGTCCATCAGTTTATGAATAGATAATTAAATTTTGGTACATCTGCCTAATGGAATAATTACTCATCAGTAAAAAGGAATGAACTGCTGATACATGCAGTAACATGGCTGAATCTCAAAGACATTATGTTAAATTAAAGAATTAAAACACAAAAGACTATATGATTCCATTTACATGACATTGTAGAATTAGCAAAAGTATAGGGAAAGAAAACCAATTAGTTGTTTCCAGCTTTGGGTGTAGGGGGAGGGAATTGATTACAGAGAGGAACAGGGAACTTTTTGGTGTGATGCAGGCTTCTATATCATTACTTTGGTAGTAAGGAGGCCTGGTGGTACACTGGTTAAGTACTTGGCTGCTAACTGAAAGGTCAGTGGTTCAAACCCACCAGCCGCTCAGTGGGAGAAAGATGTGGCGGTTGGCCGCCATAAAGATTTACAGTCTTGGAAACCCTATGAGGCAGTTCTACCCTGCCCTGTAGTGTTGCTGTGAGTCAGAATCTATTCAGTTGCAGTGGGGTTTTGATTTTATTGTGGTAGTGGTTCACGATAGCATAACATTTATCAAAACTCAGAGCTGTACAACTTATATGGATGAATTTTCCTGTATTTAAATTATACCTCAGTAATCCTGAGTTAAAAAATAATACTGAGTTTCAAAATTGTTAATTTTCTCTTTATGCAGAGTATGGCACTCTACATACTTGGTGATGAGAGCTCTGTTTCTGATGAAGCCTCACAGTATTTATCCAGAATAACTATAGGTAAGTCGATGTAATGTTAGGTTTCCCTAGCAAATTTTTATAAATGTTCATATCAGAGTTGAAATAAAAAATTAAAATTTCCTAAGTATTTGGTTTAGAGGCCACATCTTGCCTCTTAAAAAAAAAAAACAAAAACCAAACCCGCTACCATCGAGTCAACTCTGACTCATAGCAACCCTATAGGACAGAGTAGAATTGCCCCATAGGGTTTCCAAGGCTGCCACATCTTTCTCCCATGAAGTGGCTGGTGAGTTTGAGCCACAAACCTTTCTTTTAACAGCCGAGTGCTTTAACTATTCTGCCACTAGGGTTCCTTAATAAAAGAGTAGCACTGTTTTAATCTACAGTCCAGAACTAATTTTCAGAAACCACGATTACTTAAAATTTAACAAACCTTATATTTTTGGTGTGGTTTAAAAAACGTCTGCTTTGGCTGATATTATTAACTTTCCAACCTGCCAGAGTACTGCTTATTTCAGTATTTTTTAGGAGATATTTGTTAATCCTTATTTCTAAATGTCTTCCACATATTATGTGTTTTCATCATCATGATGACCATCAAAATACTAAAATTTCATTTCGTTTCCTTTTAGCCCCCCAAAATTTGCAAGCAGAACAAGAGGAAAACAGGTGACTTTTATTCAGAATGTGCTTTTATTTTTAAAAATATAAAGCAGTATATGTTTTCCTTATCTGTGTAATAACTCCATGTTTTGTTCTCTTATAGATTTAGTTTCAGGCATTCTACATCAGTGTCTAGCCTAGCTGAAAGATTAGTTGTCTGGATGACTAATGTAGGTAAGAGGTTCTTTGTTACTTTTTATGTTTCTTTGAAATGAAGGTGAGAAGCCCCCTTCTTTCACGCTGGATACCACTTAACTAAGCTGTGCTTTTTCCATACTAGCTAGAACTGGGAGGCATGAGGAGAGAAGGGTTCTGGCTCTATGAAGGTTCCACAGGATTGGGATTAGAGTCCATCATATTCTTTTCTGGGCAGCATCACAACTTCTATATGGTAATATGTGCGATACCAGTTTTTCAGCTCTTAGTGGTTAAGGAAACTTTGTCGTTTACCTTAGACCATTTAAGGTTGTGGCTTGTAGACTGGCCTCAGAATGGAGTACTCTAATCACTATACATTCAGACTTTGAAACCATCCTGACACTAAGGTATCAGAAATGATTATTTCTGGCTAAGTCTAAAAGTAACTATATAGACATTCTGCAGTGTGCTTTTGAAGGATATAGGCAAAGGATTTTAGACACAGTCTGAACATTCATCTGGGAAGAAGGAAAAGGGAGGATGAGAGGTCTCTAGTCTCTTTTCCCAAAGCCTGTGCTTTTAGGTTTTAAATAGAGTAACATACTGAAGAATTTTTTTAAAAAATAACTAAAAAACAAAATTAAAAATTACTCATATGAAGATACGATAAAAAATGATGTCATATAGAATAGTGTGTTAATGCTTTAACGAATATTTACAAGAAATTTCTAAATTCTTATCTAAAGAACATTCTAAATGACTTAGTCCCTCACAGTTCATTTTTGAGTGTCCCCTTCAAAATTACAGTTGTCATATAGGTATAGGATACCTATGCTGAAAAACACTAGTTGAGTTTTATCCATTTGTATATCACATAATATTTAATAAAAAGTGTTATTCTCATGTAAGGGAATATTTTTGCCTCATTAATCAGCTTTCTGTATTGATAAATAATACACAATACTGTAAAAATTTAGAAAATCATGAAAAATCAATTTCAGTTAACCTGAGGATTCAAAATATTTAAAATATGAAATATAGTATACATATATAAGAAGGTATAAAATGTATACGTTTAGTTTAGAGAATAATAACAAAAGGAATACTGATGTACTGGTCACGCATCTTTAGAAATAGAACATTACCAGTATAGTAGAAAGCCCTTGTGTATCTGCTTCTAGGTGGTATCACTCCCATATACCCTCACTACTACAGGTAACCACTACTCTTCCTGAACTTTGTATTACCTGTGTTTTTTTAAACATAATTTTACCATCTTTATATACTGCTTAGTGTTACGTTTTTGAACTTTATGTATATATATATAGATACAAATATGTGTTGTTCTGTCTTATTTTCTTCACTCAATATTATTTTAAAAAGATTCATCCATGTTGACTTTTGTAGTTATAGGTCATTCATTTTCACTGTCTTAAACAGTATTCCATTGTATGAACATATCACAACTTACTTAACCATTCTACTGATAATAGACAATTTTGCCAAAATGAAAGTGTTGCCAATTAATATTTATTTATTTATTTTTATTGTTGTAGTTTAAATGAAGTTTACATTTCAAATTAGTCTCCCATACAAAAATTTATCTATACGTTGTTAGGTGACGCTAATTGCTCTCCCCTTACTGTGACAACACACTCCTCCTCTCCACCCCTGATTCCCCATGTCCATTCAACCAGCTCCTAACCCTCTCTGCCTTCCCATCTCGCCTCCGGACAGAAGCTGCCCGTTGAGTCTCTTGTATCAACTTGAGCCAAGAGGCACACTCCTCACAAGTGCTAATTAATATTTTAATACTTGTGTCCTGGTGCACATGTACACCTGTTTCTCTATTAGGGGCTATGGAGTTGGACCTGTTATACATGTTCAACCTTACTAGGTAATGCCAACTGCTTTCCAAGGTGGTTGTACCACTTTTTACCACCATCAGTGGTAGATGAGAATTACTGTTGCTTTACATAGTTGCCAGTACTTGGTATTGATTGACTTTAATATTCGTCTCCACCACTCATCTCAATTTGTCGTACTGTGGTGGATTGCAACTGGAAAAAGTCCATACTTGTGCCTATTCCAAAGATAGGTGATCCAACAGAATGTGGAAATTATCAAACAATACCACATGCAAGTAAAATTATGCTGAAGATAATTAAAAAATGGTTGCAGCAGTACATTGACAGGGAACTGCCGGAAATTCAGGCCAGATTCAGAAGAGGACGTGGAATGAGGGATATCGTTGCTAATGTCATATGAATCTTGGCTGAAAGCAGAGAATACCAGGAAGTTATTTACGTGTGATTTATTGATTATGCAAAGGCATTTGACTGTGTGTATTGTAACAAATTATGGATAACATTGCGAAGAATGGGAATTCCAGAACACTTAATTGTGCTTATGCAGAACCTGTACGTAGACCAAGATGCAGTTGTTCAGTCAGAACAGGGGATACTACATGGTTTAAAATCAGGAAAGGTATGAGTCAGGGTTGTATCCTTTCACCATACTTACTCAATCTATATGCTAAGCAAATAATCCAAGAAGCTGGACTGTATGAAGAGGAACACGGCATCAGGATTGGAGGAAGATGCATTAACAACCTGTGATATGCAGATAATACAGCTTTGCTTGTGAAAGTGAAGAGGACTTGAAGCATTTAACTGATGAAGATCAAAGACTACAGCCTTCAGTATGGGTTATACCTTAACAAAGAAAACCAAAATCCTCACAACTGGACCAATAAGCAACATCATGATAAATGGAGAAAAGATTGAGGTTGCCAAAGATTTCGTTTTACTTGGATCCACAATCAATGCCCATGGAAGCAGCAGTCAAGAAATCAAATGACGTATTGCATTGGGCAAATCTGCTGCAAAAGACCTCTTTAAAATGTTAAAAAGCAAAGACGTCACCTTGAAGACTAAGGTGCGCCTCATCCAAGCCGTGGTATTTTCAGTTGCCTCATATGCATGTGAAAGCTGGACAATGAATAAGGAAGACCCAAGAAGAATTGTTATATTTGAATTATCATGTTTATGAAGAGTATTGAATATACGATGGACTGCCAGAAGAACAAACAAATCCACCTTGGAAGCAGTATAACCAGAATGCTCCTCAGAAGCATGGGTGGTGAGACTATGTCTCACATACTTTGGACATGTTATCAGGAGGGATGAGTTGCTGGAGAAGGACATCATGCTTGGTAAAGTAGAGGGTGGGTGAAGAAGACTATCAACAAGATGGATTGACACAGTGGCTCCAACAATGGGCTCAAGCGTAACAGTGATTGTGAGGATGGTGCAGGACTGGGCAGTGTTTCTTTCTGTTGTGTATGGGGTCCGTATGAGTTGGAACAGACAACAATGCCAAGCACCAACAACAACAATATTTGTCTGTTGAGTGGATGTGAAATTTCCTAGTGATTTTAATTTGAATTTCTCTGGCCACTCATTAGGTAGAGCATCTTTTTTATATGTTTATTTACTATGTGTGTCTATTCTTCTAGGAAATTTTTTTTGTCCTTTGTGTTTTTCCCCCTGGATTGTTTCTCTTTATCTTAAGGTTTTTAGGAGTTCTATATATTTTGAATACTAATCCTTTTGGGATTCTTAAAGAGGCCTTTTATATTAATCCCTGATGCCAACGTATTAGTCTAGTACTAAGATGAATGAAATGTATTTCTTATTTGTAAGGATAGATGTTTACTAACTTTAGTCTTGAAGATAATTGGGACAGTGGTACATTTAAATTTTTTCTCCCTTCCTTTCACCGTAAGGCTTTACTTTAAGAGATTTGGAGACTCTTCCCTTTGGAATTGCACTTCCCATCAGAGATGCAATTTATCACTGCCGTGAGCAGCCTGCTTCAGACTGGCCAGAAGCCGTCTGTCTCTTGATTGGACGTCAGGACCTTTCCAAGCAGGCCTGTGAAGGAAACTTACCCAAAGGGAAATCTGTGAGTACCAATACAGGAAGTTCAAAGTTCAGTTTTAGTCTCAAATAAAATAAAAGTAGAACTGTTCTTCGTTTTCCTTGAAGTCTTTGTGCAGGTGTGTATATCAGTTTGTCTTTTACAGCATATGCTAGATGGGGTTTGTTGTAATTGCACAAATCTTATTAATTGGAAATGGAGATTTTATGAATGCTCTATCTTGGCTGCACGTTTCTTTGCCTCGAGTCAGGACAAGCACTGATTCAGTATGGGAAATTTCCCTATTTGTATCATATTATTAATTAAACTATTTAAACCAGCTGAAACCAATTGCTGTTGAGTCTATTCTGATTCATTGTGACTGTATGTAAGAGTAGACCTGCTCCATAGGGTTTTCAGTTGCTGATTTTTTGGAAGTAGAGTTGTTAGCCCTTTGTTTCAAGGCACCTCTGGATGGAGTTGAACCCCCAGTCTTTCGGTTAGCAGCCAAGCATATTAACTGTTTGCACTACTCAGGAACAATTAACTGTTTAGTAATTATTATATAGAAAAAGATAGTGTACATATATACTGAATTTGAATAGTTACTATATAACTATTTTCTCTTTCATATTTTTCTAGATTTAATTTTATTTTTGTGGAAATATACACAGCAAAGGATATACCATTTCAATAAATTCTGCCTGTCTAGTTCAGTGACATTGATTACATAACCATTCTTGCTATCCCTTTCCAAATTGTTTTACCACTGTTAGTTTATAGTCACTGCTCCCTTAGCTTCTCATCTAACCTTGCGAGATGCTGTTGTCAGTGATGCTGTTGTCAGTTTGTTCCCACATAGATAAATCTTTGAAACAGCACAATGCTCAAGGCAGAAATCTTTACTAGTTAATCTAAACTGTTATCTTTCATACTTTTTTTGTGTGTTAAATTTCTTGAGTGAAACTTTCTAAATAGGTGTAAACATACCTGATTAATCACATAAAACTGAAGCCCCAAGAAAAGGATTTTTTTGGACACCAGAATTATTCAGAAGACGTCTTAAGATATCTCTACTGAAATACTCTCCTTCATCAATCTTCAAATCTGTTTTCTCAAGGATGAGTTCTAAGAGGCCTACAAATAGAGTGTGAAATATTTTATTACCCCCCAATTATCTCTTTTTAAATCTGCCTCTTTTAAAACTTAAAAAATTTTAAAAACTTTTAAAACTTCTTTCAGCACTGTAGTTCACCTTCTTAAAATAAATGGGAGCACTGTGTTACCCTGAGGATCAAGGAGGATTCAGGGATGGTTATTCCACTCCTGGTAATTCTTCTGCTTTGTTTATTTCTGTCATGGATTGAATTATGTTCCCCCAAAAAATGTGTATCAGTTTGGCTGGGCCATGATTCCCGGTAGTGTGTGATTTTCCCATATGTGGTAAATCCTGCGTCTGTGATGTTAATGAGGGAGGATGGGCGGCAGTGCAGGGAGCAGAGCCCGTCCTTTGGATCTGGGTCCCTGCGCCTAGAAGCTCCTAGTCTGGGGGAACACTGATGAGAAGGCCAAGAGAGAGAGAAAGCCTTCGCCTGGGGCTGACACCCTGAATTTGGACTTGTAGCCTACTTTACTGTAAGGAAATAAACTTCTGTTTGTTAAAACCGTCCACTTGTGGTATTTCTGTTATAGCAGCACTAGATAACTAAGACATTTTCCCTGATAAAACAGTGGAAATTTGGCTACTTGTGCTGTTCATCTCTTATTATCCTTTGAATTAATACATAGTAACTGTTTGTAAGTCATATTAGGTGTTAGGCTATTAGTGCTTCTTCAGAGTCCGTATAAAACTTGTTCCTAACACCAGAGCTGCTTAAGGGACCTGTGACATAAACCATCTCCCTAGGGGTCCATCTTCAGCAGGGATGTCCCAGCATATCTCTTGTAATCAGCTTCTAAATAACAACTCTAGTTTAATTAGGTGTGTCCTTTTTGAAATAGAAAACCAGTGTTTTGTGCTAATAATATTGTTGTCCTTTTCTTGACCAAGAAGAATCTTTGACATTTGGATCTCTTTTGTTACTATGAAAGAGCAGTGTAATGTCATTAACACAAAATACAGTAAAACCTGTGAAAGCCGGAACCTGTGTAGGGCAGAAACCTGTCAGAGAAGGAAAACTCAAATATTTTGCACTAAAACAAATGATAGAAAAGTGGTAAGACTGCACGCTGTCAAAGGTGGAAAACTTGCGAGACTGGGAAAAACAAGGTAGTCCTGTTGAGTTTTGGCTCTTACAAGTTTCACTGAGAATTATTCATCTGTATTTAAATGTCATTTAAAGTAATTCTGTCTAAATTCAATTTGTTCCATTATTTGACACTACAGTTGATAATTAATAGCATCTAAATTCAGTCTGTCAGCTGTTTGGATCTATATTTTATATCTAACTTGCTAGTTATAACATAACTTCTTTTAAAATTAGCTATTCCATAGGAATCATGAGTTTTTATGAACTAAGAATGGTTATCTGGTGTTATCTGCTATTAATGTTTTTTTCAGGCTAATGTTGCGTCTCGGTTAAATGATGCAGAACTTCAGCATTTCATCTAGAAGTGAATGTTTTGTTAAAGGGGTATAAAACTTTTTCTAAGAGAAAATCAACAGATTCCATGTAGTTCACATCTGTGTTGAAGTCTCATTGAATTATTTGGACGGGGAACCCTCATATAAAAGCACATGCTGAGCCTGGGTGCACAGAATGGCAGTCAAGGAATTAACTTTCTTTACCTGTTTGGCTGCAATTCAGTCCTTCTCCTTAAAAGAAAAAGAAAAATATTTGGAACATACTTTAAAAAAGTGAAAACCAGCTGTCATCGATTGTGTTTAAGGTACTATATAAAGTTAGAAAGCATTATCCAACTTTCTTCAACTTCTTGATGTTGTATCCTTCCAGATACTTTTCTTATACTTATGCTAATCAATGGAGATTATTTATATTAGTGTGGGTTAATGGGGTTTATAATCCACTTACAGTGCTTTGTTTCCTTTTCAAAATCATTAGAATGAAGTTAGATTTTTACAATTTATTTATATTTCTCTCAAGGGCTTCAGCCTACTGACTGTTGTCCTTCGCTTAAACTTTTCCCATTAACTCTATAAAGAATGCTTCCAAGTGGGGAATATTGTACTTTTTAAAAAATTTCTAAATTAGTATCCCAGTATACATTGGGAACCCACCCCACCTCTGCTTTGGAGGATAAAGTCCTGACTGACCAAACTGCTCCCTCCTGGAGCTCCAAGAACACAATGCTGAGTATCAGGCTTGCTGCTGAGTCCCTGAATCATTCCTCTCTCCCCTGCACCCTTTCATTTCTGCAGTGACGCAGAATCTACTGCCATGACTAAAAATAAAGAACGATAATTAGAAATTATAGTATCTTGTATGACTCTTATTCTTTTGAACTAGGATTTAATAATAATATGCAGTACTTGACTTCTTAATACCATTCTTAACGCCTCTTAGTTATGCATAGTTTTAAAATTTAAATTAGTTCCATTTAATTAATTTACGAAGATGTTTGACTAAGATGTCGTACATTTTAGGCTTCATTCTCTTTTCAATTCTTGCATCTGTGATTTAGTGGTTGCCACTAATTTTGGAAAATTCTCACCTGTTATCTCTACAGATACTTTTTCTGACCTGTTTTCTCTTTACTTAGACTCCAATTAAATAAACATATATTAGACTGATGTTACCTCATAGCTCCTGGATTCTGTGTTTTTCTTTTTTTTTTTCTCTTTGCATTTTGGTTTACATAATTTCTATTGATCCCTTAAAGTTCACTGATTGTTTTCACAACTGTGTTAAATCTGCTAAGTAGTTAAGGGATTCTTTCTCTCTGATTTTGTTTTTCTTACTTCTAGCATTTCCACTTTACTCTTTCTTTATAGTTTCAATCTCTGCTCAAATTTTTTATCCATTCTTGTGTATTGTCTGTCTTTCCCATTAGATCCTTTAACATAGTAATCATAATTATTTAAAGGATCCATCTGAAAGTTCCAACATTTCGTTCATCTCTTCGTCTGATTCTGGTTTTTGTTTGGATGCTGGACATGTATGTAGGACAGCAGAGACTGAAGTAAATAGTATTTACATTTTTAAATGGACATGCCTCCTCTTCTGTCTAATGGAAGTAGGGAGAGAGGCCATTTATGTAGTAGCTTGGACTAGAATAGTAGTGGCAAAAGTAATGAGAAGTGGTTGGATTAGGGATATTTTGAAAGTAGAGCTTGCCCACCTCACTTATGGAATCCCTCACTTATGAGAGAAGAGGTTTTTTTTTGTTTTTGTTTTTTTTAATGTTGGGCTTTAAGTGAAAGTTTACAATTCGTCTCTCATACAAAAATGTATACATACACAGTTACGTGACCCTAGTTGGCACACTCCTCCATTCCACCCTGGATTTCCCGTGCCCTTTCAACCAGCTTCTGACCGTCTCTGCCTTCTTACCTCACCTGGGGACGGGAGCTGCACATTTAGTCTCATGTATCTGCTTGAGCTAAGAAGCACACTCTTCACAAGTATCATTTTATGTCCCATAGTCCAGTCTAATCTTTGAAGAGTTGGCCTTGGGAATGCTTTTAGTTTTGGGCTAACAGAGTCTGGGGGCCACGTCTTCCGGTGTTCCTCCATTCTCAATCAAACCATTAAGTCTTTTTCTTTAACTAGAATTTGAGTTTTGCACCCCACTTTTCTCCTGCTCCATCAGAGACTCTCTGTTGTGTTCTCTGTCATGGCGGTCATTGGTGATTGCTGGCACCGTCTAGTTCTTCTGGTCTCAGGCTGATGAAGTCTCTGGTTTATGAGGCCCTTTCTGTCTCTTGGGCTAATACTTTCCTTGTGTCTATGGTGTTATTCATTCTCCGTTACTCCAGGTGGGTTGGGACCAATTGAATGCATCTTAGATGGCTGCTCTCTGGCTTTTAAGACCCCAGACACCACTGACCGAAGTGGAATGCAGAACATAAACTTTATTATGCCACT